ACATTCTAGTGGATATGCAAGACAACGTCTGTCGGGTATATAATTCTGATGTGCGTGTGTATGTCATTGAACTCCTCCAAAACGGCTTGACCGATTTAAATGAATTTTTCTGTACGCATTTGAGTGGCGCCCTGGATGGTTTATATTCACAAATCAGCCCGGCACATGGTGATGCAGTCGTCAAATGTAGGACAATGTCTGTCGGGTCCGCAAGTATATGTATAAAAATGAAACCTGTTTCCCGTTGTCAAGCCATAACTGGAGAATGGCTGGACCGATTTGGCTGATTGTTTTTTTGTTGTGTTTGTTATTGTCAGGAGACGGTTTTTATGACAGAAACAATCCTGAAATTCCTACGGGAACGGGAGAAAACGGGACTGCGCGAACGAAGTCGCGGGCAAAAGCTATTTTTATATATATACATATCTCAGGAAACAGCTCTTTCTAGTCTTACTGTTGCATTGATGGACAAACACACTACTCTAAGACGACACAACACGAGTATCTCTCTCACTCATAATGATCACTAATGACCATATACAATGTACACGTGTCCTTGTCCAGCGGTCGCGCTCCTATGGCATAATGTCACTGATTTGCCTGCGCTCCACTGCAATGAAATTCCTATTTTAATTTGATAAAATTTAATATTTATTTATCTATTCTAATAATACATAATGTTGTTTAAATCATAAGATCCTGTATTTTTTTTTTGTTTTTTTAATTGGTAACATCCATCTTTGGTGTCATAGGTACATAGGTAGTATTACTTCTGTTTGTTCCAATTGTGAGTTCACCTTAAATAGGTTTTTACATACATAACATCACACCTTTTATCCCCGAAGGGGTAGGCAGAGGTGCACATTTCGGGACTTAATGCCACTGTCACTGACTTAATGCAAAAAAAAACTAAGGCAGTTTTTAATAACTAAATGTTATTATAATTTAACCGAATTTATGACTGATGACAGAGGAAATTTATAATGTTAACAATTGTTTCCGTAAGTTACATTTAAGTAAAATGTTATTATAGAGGTAGTTTAATTGAGTATACGGCTGATAGAGTAAATTTTCAACACAAATAATAGTTTTATTAAAACTTGATGTTAATATTAATTTAGTTTGTAATTAGGTGTATTATGTTCCATAATGTAGACAGAGAAGATTATTGTCTGTAAACACACTAGATTAAGAACATACTATAAAAATTTTGTATGTCTGTACAGACACAATGTGGCGCACTACCATAATATTATCTACCATCTATTGTAACATACCTACATTGACGAAATAAACAATATTTTTGTACAATGTACCTAACACCCACTTTTTACTATTTATGTTATGAGTCCCATGTAATAAATAGGTTTTTGTTTATGGGAAATTTGTATTTATGTTTAATAAATAATTTAAACTTAGACTAATAACTATTCTCTTGTGCATGATGTTTTAGCCTTTAATTGATTGTTACACTAGCAAATGCATATTGTAAACCGATTTGTTGTAATATGATGTGTAAACAGTCGTTGGCTGTCGCAGAGAACCTAATGGGTAACCGGGGCTCCGGCTCGACGTGCAGGAGAAGGAACGGGGTGGTTTTTAGTCAGTAAGAGTCTGACACTCCCTCCCGCCTCACCCAGGCGGGAGCAGTCATTCGATGATTTTCCACCCTAAAAAAAAAAACAGTCGTTGGCTGACCCTAAATAAATAAAAAAAAAACACATTCAGAACATTAACAATTTACTTACACTGATATAAAGACTTATCGCTAGAACGTGCTTTTAAATTAATCAAGAAATCGTAAAGATGCAATGCAATGTAGCCTTATTATCTACTAAAAAAAATATCTTACAATCATATTTCTACATAATACGTTAAGAAATAACTAAGTATATAACTAGATGTTATATAGAAAATAATTCATTCAAAAATAGGCCCAGTGTTTCGGGTTTTTAAGTGAATAATTATTTATTTTGTAGATAATTCAAATATGGCGTCTTTGTTTATTTTATCTGCGGTTTTGTGTTTAGTACAGGTATGTATATTTTTTATGGGATAAGCCGGTAAACGAGCAGACGGATCACCTGATGGTAAGCAATCGGCGTCGTCCATGGACACCTGAAACACCAAGGCGTTACAAGTGCGTTACCGGCCTTTTGGGAATTGGGAATTTGAGGATTGTGGGGGATTCGGGAATTGGGGAGACTGAGAAGGGTAGGAAATTGGGTAACCTCACTCACACGATGAAACACAACGCAAGCTTTGTTTCACGTCGGTCTTCTGTGAAAATACATATAAATATGATATGTTAACTTAGTCAATACAATTTATTAAAGTAAAGTGTGTCCGCGTGTGTTCGCGTTAAATAAGTGTTCGCTAGTCCGACTGCCAATCAAGAAGTCCCGTTCGATTTCCACGGCGAGCAGAGCATTTTTGGGTATTTTTAGATTTTTACAATAATTTAGTTTTTAGGGTATACCTAGTATTTTTACCTAATTTATAGGCGCAAGTAGATACTTAGCCTTTAACTGCCGAAAACTGTTAACCCTTCGAGCATCCTTATGAGCACCATAAGGATTCTCGAAGCACGCATGGTGGATCATAAGAAAAAAATGCTCCAAATGTCACGTGTGCACCCGTTGGATCATAAGGAACGCGGACGCTCGACGGGTTAAAGGCTAATCCTCCGTCAGCGTCGATCGTCATTGATCGACACCGCATCGAATGTGCTTGCTGTTATAAATCTTTTTGTATTTTACAGAATACTTTCGGCCAAGCACTTGGAATCAACAAAGGATTTGGATTAAATGGACTCCCTCCCAACGGAATCGGAATTGCTAATGGATTAGCGCCAAATGGCTTACTTGGCAATGGCTTGGCGGTAAATGGTTTGAGCCCAAACAACTTTGGTATTAACAATATTGCCGCAAACAATTTTGCTGCAGCTAATCTAGCTGCTAACAACTTAGCTGGTGCTAACTGTGCTGCTAATAACTTGGCCAATGTAAACTTTGCTGCCAACAAATTTGCTGCAGCAAACAACTTAAATAATGCCAACTTAGCAGCAAATAATCTAGCTGCCAATAACTTTGCAGTTAATAATTTCGCAGCCAATAATTTTGCTGCCAATAATTACGCAGCCAATAACGTGGCAATGAATAACTTAGTTGCCAATAACTTGGCTAACAATTTCCAACTGAACAACAACTTAGCTTATAACGGTCTTGCCAACAACATGGCAGGTTTGGCCGGTGTGCCAAACGCTGTCAATGCTGGCTATGGTGACATCGCCGTCGTTGGCGAGCTGCCAGTTGGTGGCAACACTGCTGTCACTGGTAACGTGCCAGTGATTGGCTACGTGACTTTCGAAGGGACTCTGCCAGCCGGAGGTCTAGTCAGTGTTGCCACTAACAATAATAATTGTGGTTGCGTTTAACCTCTTTAGATTTTAATAGTTACTTAATAAGTAATTATTTGTAAAGTCATTATTTTTAAAATATTGTAATATTGTGTGTTTATTTATTGATGTAATAAATGGAATTTGATGTACCTATTTATTTTTTATTTTATTTTGATAGATTTAATAAAAAATCACACAATTAAGTAGTTATTTTGACTATGTACTTGTCACAGTCAACTTACTTAAATACCCATTTAATTAACTTCGGACAGAAAATAAGGATTGTCATTCAACGTGGCGTGATCCTTTTTCGATCCTGTAGCCAGGGCTGTCCAAACTATATACCCTCACGGGCTAATTAAATTACGTGCGGAAATCAAACCCGTGACACTGCGTGGTAGCCGGCCCAGCCACCACACCAACCGTGCAGTCTAACTTAAATATATAACCATTTGTGCATGAATCCAACTTGAAATTGGTTAATTTTCCTTTTAACTTAAATTTAATAATTATAAAAAGATGAGATGTCATTTTAAATTCAATTTAGTTATTTGTTTATTATCTCAATAAATCTGACTGCCTTGTTGGCAGGACGGTTGCAAGTGCGACTCCGGGCAAGGGGTTTCTGGTTCGATTCCCATGTCAGGCAAAGTACTACTAGGTTTAAAAAAAAATCCCAGAAGTAGCACGGAGTCTGGAATTGTGCCCGGTATATGGCAATCATTATGCAGCCAATAACGTGGCAATGAATGCAGGTCGCTTCCAATCCAAACGGCGTATCTGGAAGATATTTGGGGAGGCCTATGTTCAGCAGAGGACGTCCTGTAGCTGATATGATGATGATGATGATGATGATATAGCAATAGGCTCACCCCCTATTACATGGGACTCATAACATAAATAGTGAAAAGTGAGTGTTACATTGTACAGTGGCATTAAGTGCTGTAATGTGCACCTCTGCCTACTCCTTCGGTGGAAAATGGTGATGTTATGATATTATGTATGTCAAGAATTACAATATTTGTCTAACGTTGAAGCAGCTCCAATACATTATAATACAATCTATTTACACGACGCATTTTTATTAACAACTTTAAAGTTAAAAACCATGCTTCTTCACCAATTATTTTTATGGCATAAGCCTGTAAACGAGCAGACGGATCACCTGATGGTAAGCAATCGGCGACGCCCATGGACACCTGGAACACCAGAAGCGTTACAAGTGCGTTACCGGCTTTTGGAAGATTGGGAATTTGAGGATCGTTGGGGATTCAGGGATTAGGGACATGAAGGAAGAGGAGGGTAATTGGGCCTCCGGTAACCACTCTCACTCTCACGACGAAACACAACGCAAGCGTTGCTTCACGTCGGTTTTCTGTGAGGCCGTGGTATCACTCCGGTCGAGCCGGCCCATTCGTGCCGAAGCATGGGTCTCCCACACTTAATAGTGTGAACCACCAAATCAAAAGTCTTGACCGAAGTATACCACATTTTTCAAATATAGGTACACAAAATAAGAAAGTATGATTGACAATGATCATTTTTAAAAAACATTTATTAATAAATAAATTAAATAAATACATGTTGTAAATTACAAATACTAAATAGCTGTTGGATTTCCACAGCCATAATTGACAGAAGATTTGCCATCCGATGGCACATTGCCATTAATGGTCACCGTGCCATAAAGTGGCATTCTGCCAGACACTGCCACTTTGCCATTCACTTGTAAATTATCTGCCATAATTTGTAACCCAATAGGTTGGTTGTTGAATGATTTGCCAGATACAGTGACTGGGAGACGACTGTCTCCAAAGTTATAGTTCACTCTGTTCGATTGTACGCCATTTGGCACATTGCCAATAGGACTGGCAAAGTTTCCAAACAGATTACCTCCTGTAATTTCGTTTGGCATTATAGTGCTAGTGATAGAATTTACTAAATTGGTTTCTGCAATGTTAGCCAACGTATTGGCAATGGTATTTGTATTGGCAAAATTATTGTTCAATAGATTTGGGTGGTAAGTTGGCCCATTGGTCAAAGGTTTGGTTGCCATTGGTAGATTTTGAAATTGGTTATTGGCAAGGGTGTTTGGTGAATATGGGCCAATATTAAATGTATTTCTCAGTTGGTTTAGTAAGCCAGGTTGGAATACTTGTGCCGATGCGAACTGTAAAATAAAAGAAAGATTCTATTAATATTATCTTCTAGTATAAATGAAGTTCTGATTTTGATAATTACTCAAAGTAAATTTTAAAATAGATTTTTTCTGATTGTTAATACATTTCCAAAATAAATACATATGTATATAGTGGATATTTTGTAGAAGCCCTTCATGTAGTTGATTCATTATTAGATTTAGAAACATAAAATAGCGCTATTGATATAGAGGTAATTGAAACCAAAGGATTATGTTTTTTATTAATCGAACTGAAAAAAGATATGAAGGTATACCAAAGAGAATATGTCTCGTACAGAATATGTTCTAATTTGTATTTTGACTGCATTGTTGGCCGAGTGGTCGCAAGTGCAACTGCTGGGCAAGGGGTCTCGGGTTCATTTCCAGGGTCGGGCAAAGAATTTCTGGGTTTTTAAAAAAAATCTCAGCAGTGGGAAATGGAGTCTGGAATTGTACCCGGTATATGGCAATAGGCTCACCCCCTATTACATGGGACTCATAACATAACTAGTGAAAAGTAGGTTAGGACATTGTACAGTGGCATTAAGTGTTGTAATGTGAACCTCCGCCTTGAGGAATAAAGGGCGTGCTGTGATATAGTATTTTTACAAAAAATAAAAACATATAATTACCTGGACAACAGCCATAAAAAACCAACAATACCAAATAAACATTTCTATAAAATAAAAAAAAAGAAACAAATTCAAAAACAGTAGCTCAGCTAATATACAACAAATCCGCTTCAAAATCTGCAAAGCTTTGCCAAAATAAATATCAGGGCAATCAATTTTCTGCCGGGCTAACATAAAAGTGTTGCAACAATATATCTTTAGAAAGATAATTTTAATTATTTAAATCACGAAAACATTGATAATTTAAAAGCGTGACGATACGTATGGAGTGATAGGACATGTATTAAATCAAATCTCTGATAATAAATTTTATCATTAAATTTTGTATTAAAATAGGAAAAGTCTTCGATAAAAAATTAAGTAATAAGTTACCATTAAATGCATTTATTAAATTATACTAAGCTAAAGAATTTGTTTGTTTGTTTGAACGCTTCTGTTAATTGTTTTCGCACAATCGAACCAATACTGTGAAACTACAGAATTGTATTGTGAACCTGATTGGAAAAGAGTAACCTATGGAGTTTCTTGCTCGTTCTTCTCCATAGGAATCTACACCTTGGAATGAGCAAATAGCTTCACTTTTAAATTTCTATTGCTGACGTTCAAAAGTGCCTTCCTGGTCTAATTGAAATAAATGATTTTGGCTTTGACTTTGAATCTCAGGAAATACTGGACCTGTAGAGTAATGAATGTTGACATGCTGTCAACATGAATAAAAGACATAAATATGTACATCTATATACCAAACTACAACATAGATTAAAAATGGCAGAAAAGTAACGAAAAAAGTATAAAAAAATCCTCTTTCTTTCCTCCTTTCTATTTATTTTAGCTTAAGAACCGCCTCTGTTTAACGTCGGCTAAAAATTAGCATTGATCCTAATTCTGCCAGAAGCTGGCACTTTGCCGCCAAATACCACAGGACCAGGTTCATAATCTTCATCATTTCCATCGTCATCATCATTACAATAACCTAAATTACGAATTTCAATAAAACTCTCCTCCGTCAGTTTCGACAATGCCATTATAATTGGCAAAGAGTTGTCTGGCATGCTGATTTTGGGCACTGGGAATGGCAAGTCGCTTTTGTCGCTTTTTAAAGATGGATAGGCGATTTCTGGCAACGATGATACTTTTGGCAAGTTTATGTTTGGCAGTATTGAGTCGATTGGCCAATCTGAGTCTGACAAAGTTGGTTCGGGTGTGACAACAACTGGAGTAGATGGTGCGGAGTAGGAAGTCACTTCTGGAAAATGAATGGCATATTATTAAAGAATTACCTACTAATCTTGTTAGATTTTTTATTATCATATAAAGACTAACTTAACCAGACCGATCGAATCAAGACTCTTTGATTAGTAACTATATTTGAGGCCATTTGACAAATGGGGCTGTCTAATCATTTTAATAAAATAACATAACATCGCGCTTTTTATCCCCGAAGGGGTAGGCAGAGATGCACATTATACTACTGTACAATGTAACACCCACTTTTCACTATTTATGTTATAAGTCCCATGGAATAGGGGTTGAACTTCTTGCCATATACCGGGCACAATTCCAGACAACGTACTGCTGAGATTTTTTTTTAAACCCAGTAATACTTTGCCCGCCCGGGAATCGAACCCGAGACCCCTTGCCCGGCAGTCGCACTTGCAACCATTCGGCCAACGAGGCAGTCATTTTAATAACTTCTTTAATAAATAGATTTTCAACTCTATTACCTTCTAATAAAAAAGAAAATTGACAGCAAGCTATTTGGTATACCTTCACATGCTTGCGTCATTACCATGATACTCACTATTGTATCCATCGTTTCCAAAGTCCCCTCTGATGCTGACTCCTCCTCTCCCCTCCACTTGTCCTCCAAAATGAACAGATCCAGTTGTCCGAGGATACGAAGACCAGCTACCCATCATCATGCGTTGATAGTACCATGGATCGTACAGATATGGATTTTGGTAATTAGGTACTGGAATCACTTCTATATTCTGTAAAATAACACGAAATGGATGGAGGATGGACAATGAATTTTTTTACTGAAAATTATCTAAAAACTAAGTTTTTTTTATAGCATAAGCCGGTAAACGAGCTGACGGATCACCTGGTGGTAAACAATCGGCGCCGCCCATGGACACCCGAAACACCCAACAAGGCATTACCGGCCTTTTGGAAATTGGGAATTATAGGATTGTGGAGGATACGGGGATTCGTGAGACTGGGGTGGGGGGTAATAGGGCCTCCGGTAACCTCACTCACACGACGAAACACAACGCAAGCGTTGCTTCACGTCGGTCCTCTGTGAGGCCGTGGTATCACTCCGGTCGAGCCGGCCCATTCGTGCCGAAGTATGGCTCTCCCACACTTAATGTCCGCAGTTATCCGCAGCCCCGGAAGTTTTGTTTAGTTTCATCAAGTAATATATTTTGAAACCAAGCCTATATAGAACAATCCTAGTAATTTACGTCTAAAAGTTCTTGAAGAAAGATATCTATGAAATATTTTGAAATGAAATATTAATTTTAAAAACAACATAAACTTACCATTGCCGCTAAATTAGGTAATTCATCAACCGGTATGTACGCCATGATGTAGTCCTTGCCAGGGTTAGCATAAACATCCTGGAAAAGATATTTTACTATATTATCCTCTTGTTTTGGTGGATTACTCGTGGTGGCCCGGAGGTTAAAGACGCCCGCTTCTCCTGCATGAGGGTGCGGATTCGAAACCTACCAACGGCAAGTACCAATGTGACTTTTTCAGAGTTAAATGTACTTTGTAAGATTATCTAGACACCACTGACAAACGGTGAAGGAAAACATCGTAAGGAAACCTGGACTTATAATTTCTAATTATAAGTTTGTAATCGCCAACCCACATTGAGCAAGCGTGGTGGTTATTGCTCTAAAACCTTCTCCGTGTGGGAAGAGGTTTTGCTCAGCAGTGGGCATTTATAAGCTGATCCTGTTGTCTGTTGAAAGTTGCGAGCATAATGTGTTTTATATCTGGAACCAGTGTTTCAACAGATAAGAGGTGTACCCTTGGAACCGTAGAAATATTCGTTAATTAAAATCAAAATCTGTAAATAAATTATATCCAGTGACTACATGTCAAACTGCATTGGTAAAGAAAAGTTTTTTTTTGGTATTGCACCTCGCATTTACAATAAGGTACCAGATGTTATGAAAAGTATGACTGTATTGAAATTTAAAAGACGCTGAAAGAACTTTTGCTTAACAAATGCTATTATAATATTGACGACTTTCTTAATGATGACTTACTGACTTATTAATATGTAATATGATACCTTTAATTTCATATTTTTTGACATTCAATAATTATAATTATTTCAATTCTTAATTTATTGGTAATGTATATTGTATGAGGTTGTATAAGTTAAACTTGTAGATAAATTGATTAGGAAATACTTGCATGCCATAATGGCAAAATGTGGAGAACCATACTATATATAAATATTAAACACCTTTTGTATATTTTATAACCCATGTTTGCAACCGAAATAAATAGCCAGAGCCATGCTTCGGCACGAATGGGCCGGCTCGACCGGAGTGATACCACGGCCTCACAGAAAACCGACGTGAAGCAACGCTTGCGTTGTGTTTCGTCGTGTGAGTGAGGTTACCGGAGGCCCAATTACCCTCCCCTTCCCCAATCTTCCCAATCCCTGAAACCCCAACGATCCTCAAACTCCTAATCCCCAGAAGGCCGGTAACGCACTTGTAATGCCTCTGGTGTTCCAGGTGTCCATGGGCAACACCGATTGCTTATCATCAGGTGATCCGTCTGCTCGTTTATAGGATTAGGCCATAGAAAAAATTTGATTTGATTTGATTTGATTTCAGTAAATCTTGTCCACCCATCATTAGCATTAGCCAGAAGACATCCACTGCTTGACAAACACCTCCCATGTCAACCGCCTAAAAAGCAAATCTGTATCTATTTTGACGTAGACTACCAAACGTATATCCCTATCTATCCTTTGGCTATTTACTAGTGAAATGTTATACATTTATTTTTTATTATGATGGGTGGATGGCCTGGTGGCAAGCCGTGATGCGGCCTACGATTTTTTTTATAGGATAAGCCGGTAAACGAGCAGACGGATCATCTGATGGTAAGCAATCAACGCCGCCTATGGAAACCTGAAACATTAGAGGCGTTACAAGTACGTTACCGATACGGCGGGCTAATAGGGCCATAATAGGCGCGGAACAAAGAAAACTTCTCTAAGGCCAGCGACTAGCCTTAATTTTCTTATGTAAGGCTTACAGGACGTTTAGCACTGAGGCCCTACCTGTGCTCGCGGGTGTACCCCCGGTCGATCTTAAGGTGCAGCGACGTGCTGCTATGTATTATAATGCGAGACCTAATTTATCAGCAAGCTGTCTAGCACAACGTGATCGAAATAAAATTGCTACATTGTTCAAGCCATTAACGGACGTTTGGGGCGAGCTTATAACTGAATGGCAGGGTAGATGGGCATCTTCTATTAAGGGCGGCCACCTATATCAGTTCTTCCCATTCGTGCATGAGCGGCTGGAGAGGACATGGTTGGAGGTGAATCACTGTGTTGCCCAATTTCTTACTGGCCACGGCAACTTTAAAAGCAAATTGTTCTCATTTAAACTTATTGATCACCATGGTGCCAGTGTTCGACAGAGGAGTTGCAATACGAGCAGTCGGCCCATCACATACTCTGGGAGTGTGATCTCTGGCAATATGAACGTAACACTATGTTAAGTAATTTAATTGTTTCGTCAGGTGCAGCTTATTATACGGACCTTGTGGAATCTAGAACGAATTTCCGTGCGTTTAGGCGTTTTTGCCATACCTGTTATTGGAAGCAAGCTCACATAAACCCCCTTTGTTTTTAGTCAAATTTCCGTGGTGCTTGGCGAGTGGGCTTCACCCTTTTTTTGAATTTGGGAAATGATGAAGCACATCTACCCTAAGCAACCTATTACCACCCGGACCTTGAAGATTATTATTTTGATCACTTCTTAATAAGTAGGTACTTGCCTGTACCGTGAATACTGCCGAAATAACCAATTTGACAAAGAAAATCATTTCTTCAATCAATGTACACACAAACACAATTGCACAAACTACGTGTTACTTACGTGACCCATTTTTATATGAAACGTTTCATGTTATCAAAAAGTAATTAACTTTTAAGAACAATTTAAGTAATATTGTAAAGAATCCTTACTAATAATATTATAAATCAGAAAGTGAGTTTGTTTGTTTCTTTGTTCCGCTTTCACGCCGTAACTACTAAACCGATTGCTTTGAATTTTTGCAGACGTAAAGTTAGAAGTCCGGATTAAATAATAGGGTACTTTTTATCCTGGAAAGATTTGATATTCCCGAGGGGAAAAAAAGTATTGGTATAGATGGCGCTGTGTGTATTGGTATATGTCACATGCGAGCGAAGTGGTGGGTAAAAGCCAGTAATTAATATTGGGTGTCTGTTTGTACTTGTTTACATCAACAACTTGTGGCAAATTTCCGCTGGTCTACCTATTGGCTTTTTGAGCACCTATTTCGTCACCATTATTGCCCGATTAATTTATGTGGTAGAGAGGTCATACAAATTACGTTCTTAATTCTTTATCTTTTAAGCAATTCTCTGTCTGCCGGGCTAGGAGTCTCGAGTTTGATTCCCGTGTCGGGCAAAATATTACTGGATTTTTTAAGAAACTCAGTAGTAGTACGGAGTATAGAAATGTGTCCGGTATATGACAATAGGCTCACCCCTTATTACATGGGACACATAACATAAATAGTGAAAAGTGGGTGTTACATTATTCAGTGGCAAAAAGTGCCGGAATGTGCACCTCTGCCTACCTCTTTGGAGATAAAAGGCGTGATATTAAGTTGCCTAGGTCAGAAAATTTCCATTTATGCTTTCCCTGGTCGTTGCGAAATTAAATTCTATTCGACCATAGTAGTAGTAGTAAACAAAACTGGTTAAAAGCGGATGGTATTTTTACCTCGTATCGAGTGAAACTGCGATATAATGTATTACTTATTTTATAAGTTAAACGTGACTTTCGGACTTATGTTTTGATATCGGCAATAGGTATTTTGAAATATTAATTGTAACACTTAATACACTTCTTCTTTGTGACTACTCTAACAGAAAACCAACGTGAAACAACGCTTGCGTTATATTTCGTCGTGTGAGTAAGGTTACCGGAGGCCCAATTACGCTTCCCTTCCCCAATCTCCCCAATCCCTGAATACCCAACGATCCTCAAACTCCTAATTATGAGTTTACAAAAAATTATAATTACTAAAAACAAATAATTATAATTATGAGTTTTGTTATTGTATATCTATTAGTTTATTGATGTTTTAATTTTTTGGTATCTGTTATTTTTTAGTTTTGTATTGTATTTTTATTTGTGTATTATATTTTATATGGGCCACAGTTGCTTGAAATAAAGGAATAAATAAAAAAAAATTAAATAAATAATCGCCAAAGTAACGCACTTGTAACGCCTCTGGTGTTCCAGGTGTCCATGGGCGACGCCGATTGCTTACCATCAGGTGATCCGTCTGCTCGTTTACCGGTTTATACCATAAAAAAACCACCTTTAATAAAATATCCTGTATAGTCTTACGTGAACATCGACATAAACAGCCTGTAAGTGGCCACTGAAGACCGAAAGCCTCTTCTTACACGGAGAAGGTTTGAGTATTAATCGCCACGCTTGCTCAATTCGGGTTGGCCAATTCACTCTTATGATTAGAAATTGTAAGATCAGGTTTCCTCACGATGTTTTCTTTCACCGTTTGTCAGTGGTGTCTAAATAATCTTAGAAAGTACATATAACTCGGAAAAGTCACATTGGTAGGTTTCAAAAGTGTTTTCCTGGTCTAATTGAAATAAATGATTTTGACTTTGACTATGACTTAAAGTTAGTATTGTATTATCAGCGAAGTTTGTCAGAGATAGCAACAAATAAAAGTCAAAATTAGGTACAAAATTTTATTTAGGTAAATTTTTTAAATACATTTAGGTTATTGTATGAAATAAATAACCTTAAATAATAAAACAATCACCCATTTACATACATGGACTATTTAAAACCGTCACTGTCTCAGTTATGCCAGCCACTGGCAAGCCATTTAAAAATGGCAAATTCTCCAATCCCTCTATTTTCAAATTCTTTACAATTTCATGTGCCAAATTCAAATTATTAGCCACAAAATTTGATTGGCAATCATTTGCCAGCAAATTTTGATTAACTGCCACATTATTGTTCAAGGAATCACATTGAAAATTATTGACAGGTATTTGAGAAGTGGTAGATTGATAATTATTGTTGTTAAAAAAACCGCTACTTATTATATTTTGTAAATATGCCTGTGTGGGATCAATTAATATCCCATTATTGGAAGGTGGTAATGAATTTATTGCGGCACTATTAAAAGGAATGGCATTATAATATTGATCAATCACTGGCATTGGCATGCCTATTATATTTTTTGTGTCTGGCATGCCATTTCCATTGGCAATATTGATATATTGCGGGTCACTGACACCATTGTCACACCCATG